GTTAAGCGAATTTAACAATCACATAGTAACAGTAAATTTACAAACGCAAAATGATCCAGTACAAACACATAACTGGACATCATACTCTTAAAACTTTGTTTTCGTATATGTAACATAATCTAATAAGCACAAAGCTACACATGAGTATTGAAACCCGATTTTTAGCGTCATAAGTCCAGAGAATTACCATTGAGCCACTGGGAGGTTGTGAAAAAAGTAAAGCTAAACTGTTTGTAATACATATTCACTAACTTTCGCATACTTGAAGGATTTTTATGTCTTCGCAAAAAGACAAACCGTTTTTGTATTGTTTCTTCTTCTTCTTCCAAACACTTTTAAATTGACCGCCATTTCTCAGAGGATTGACTTGAAACTAGTGGGGTCCTTGGTCCAATACATTCAGATGTCTTTTTAGTTTTTTTTTATTTAGATTTTTTTAGGGATGTTATGAGGTCAAACAACTCCGAAATGTATATTTACAGCAATCAAGATGAAAATTGACAGAAATATAAATTTTCATGCGCCCAACACATTAACACTCAAAAAAGTTGGACTTGCCCCTTTCAGTCTTTTTTTAAGGGGGTCAGAGCTTTTAAAAAATAATAATTTGGGGAATTTTGGTCAATTACTCGGCCATATTTTGACCAGTTTACATTCGATTTAGTACAAAGATACCTTATTGCAGGTCCTAAGCAGTGAAATAGACAGTTTTTGATTTTTCTCTGTTTATCACATTTTTCTGGTGTCAAAATTGGTCAGGTTGGGATTGCGGTGCGGAGACATGTTGGATTCGCCCACGAATGTTAGCCTCTTTAATTGATTATTATAATGAAACAATGGTGTTATGTCATAGATAAAAGCTATTAATTTAGCTTCATATTCAAATATTGTTTTTTAAAAGCTCTTTATTATATTATTAAATGCTTACATTTTAGTGTTTGTTTTAAGGTTTTGGTTTATTTCGATGAAAGAGAAAATATCTATATTTTTAAATTCCGCGGTTTTCACCACGTGCTTCTGTTTTAGCTCACTGGTGGCGGTAAAACGTTCATCACGTGACCCACGCTATACTTCAAATTGGTTTGATTTGTGGGGATTGTTCTAATCTTTATTTGGTTTTGTTTATATGTATGATATATTTTGATATAAGCAATGTCTGAAACGAAGGTTGAATCCCAACATGAATCAAGTCTTATTATATCGCAGAAAGTAAGTAACGAGAAAAATTCAAGATTTATGGTGGTTTTTGATGGAAGTGATTATTTTGACACTTCTGACAGTTGAATAAGATTCTCTTCACATGCCTGTTGACGTTGTAACTTGAACTTGTTAAAGTTGAAACTCAAGTTGAGTGGTATTCAGCCTATTCGTTGTATAATAATATTAATAATGGATGAATCGGAATAAGCGACAGAATTTAGGATTAGAATAACGTGTAATTGAAAATGAAACTGAGTAAGAGTGAAAACGCATTTTTGCGTGGTTGTGTTACACTTTAATTTTTAAATTTATGTTTAATGCTTATTCTTAACCTAAGGTGTAGCACAAATATCTATAACTATAAGTATAAATATAATTTAGTATAATTATAAAAAAAGTTTTTTGTTATTGAAGTTATAGCTCATATTGTCATTTATCACGGATGATATTAGTATTAATAATTAATATTAACTTCTGATCACAGCAAATCACTTACTTAGATCGAAACTAAAATTCAACCTGGTATTTGTAGCTAATCAAATATACTTCTATTATTATTTATGAATATTAGAAATAGAAAGCAGAATTCCTTCAGTTGAGAACTCTCGCTGTTAATGTTATTGTTAACAGAATTTTTGGCTGTAAATTATACTACTAAGTAGGATGAAACTAAACTATCATAAATCATTTCCATCTCCCTTTGAACTTATAAGTTGTAAAAGACATTTCATTGTGGTAGGTTTTGATGTTGGTGTTGTCATCCCACTAGCTAAAGTTATGTGGCTTTTTTTTCTAATAACCTTTTATAACTTGTGCAAATTTTAGCTTTTTATTTGTGTCAGTTAATGATGTAATCAATGACAGTTAATTAAAAAATATTAGTATTATTTCACATGAGAGCAATTTGTACATAATAATTTTCTTTATTGTTTTCATGCGTATTTGAAATGGAAATACTTATTAGTAGTGGAGTACTTATTCACAAAGTTTTATCATTTAAATAATATAGATGTGAACAGTGATAGGACCCATGAGTTCTTAATATGCTACTGAAGGATATAATATTGGCTCTGTTAATGATAATGTTGATAATAGTAATATATTAAATTAACTATGGCTGTAAACATTGAGTTTTATTATTGTAGAGAATGAGCTGTTTTCACTTTCCTTTCTTTATAAAGATAATCAAAAGTAGTAACTTGTGATTTTCCATTTATGCTAAACAAACTAATCATTAATCAAGGGAAAAAAAAGATCATTTTCCAACACAAGTTGGAAGCACAAATTGTATTAAATTTTAAACAAAAGTGAATAACTTTTATCATTTAGCTGTTTTTCAGAAAACAAATTTAATTGAACAATCATTCTGGTTTATGGCATAGTTCTTCTCTGTGTACATTTTGTTATTCTTACCTTTGTCAACCATCTCTGTCTGGCTACTATAACAAATGCTGCACACACACATGCCATCTAAAACAAGGATAGCAGCACCACTGTTTGGTTCTGGTAAAACTTCCTGTTCAAGAAAGGTCCTGGCATGGCCAGGTGGTTAGGGTGCTCAATTTGCAAACTGTGGGTTGTGGGTTTGATTTCCCGTCTCACCAAACATGCTCACCCTTTCAGCTGTGGGGGTGTTATAATGTGATGGTCAATTCCAGTATTTATTGGTAAAAGAGTAGCCCAATAGTTGGCAGTGGGTGGTGCTGGCTAGTGCAGACAGCACACGTGTAGCTTTGTGCGAAATTCATAACAAACAAACTGTTCAAGAGAATGGTTATGGTTAAGTATCAATTCTTTGTAGTGGATATAGTCAAATCCAAGATACAGATCACTCATCAAAGCAAAACAAGCAGTGTATTTCCTTCTTTATAGCAAAAGGTTTTTCAAACTAATTATTTAAGACATTCTGTTGGATAACCCAGTATGGAGTTTAAATGTTTAATTCTGTAACAGATTTGTACAGGTGTTGTGGGATATTTCTTAAAGGTGGAGTTCTGGAAGGACAAGTCATCAAACTGAGACTTTGTAAGTCTAGTCAGAATAAAGTATTCATAACCATTTAGCTAGTGAAACATATCAAAGTATATTTCACTTGATCATTTTGCTGCTGTCTTGCAATCTCCAGAAGATCAGTCTCACTTGTAATGTTATATTTGGTATAGTCTTTCATTATTATGTTTGTCACATGCCATAAGTTGGAAACAAACTGCTTTCTGTCCATTTGACTTTTGCAAGATGGGGTTTTCGGCAGCGTTAACAATACCACGTATAACAAATACTTGGATTTGGACACAAGATATGTTTAGCATGGCTATTTCCTGGTGACCTGATGCTTAGACTTAAATGTTTGAAACTTGTATGTCTGGTTTGCTCAAGAATACACCAGGAGTCTTATTTGGAGGAAGAGTGTAGCTTTGATCATTCCATCAGTTTTACTGTCACTTGGTGGGTAGAGCTGGGTGACTTAATAAATTCGACCAATCAATTAATTTTCGAGTTTGTTAATTGATTACATTCAACTGATCAGTTATTCTCACAATAGACTACAATAGTGAGAATAATAAAAAATATTAAACTGGAAGCACTAATTTTGATTAGTTGCTTATTTTTGTGGGTTGGTACACAAATCGATTAAGTTGAACAACCTTGAATTAGTCAAAAATAATAATGAAAAATCATACTTACATTATCTTGATTACTTGGACATTTGGAAACATGAACTTCAACTAGTTGGTTATTTTCGTGAAATTAATTGGTGCAATCTATGCTCATGTTTAATTGGTTAATTGCCCGATTTTACTGAATGGAAAAGATTTTTTTTAGACATCTTGTGCAACAGTTGATGAAACTGAAACTTGCTCAATGGAGCCAATCACATAGTTACACAGTAAAAATTACATTATCAAAAAAAACTGGGGGACTTTTATAGTTATGCAATCATTGATATATGGCCACATTGTTTACCCTTTGGTTTGAGACTCAAACTGAAGTTAATGTAAGAAATCACTCGGTTAAAATAATACAGATGTGTAGTATGCCATATAAAATGTAGACCTAAATAGAGAGAAGATTCATATCAAGGTTATTTAATAGTGAACTACATATAAGAAATTGTAAGAGAGAGAGAAGAAATCCTCTGCCAAAGATGTCACTTGTACTAAATGTCATCAACAATACTATCAATGTAAATGCAGTGTACAATTAGTTTGGAAGTGATTCAATGTCCTGCTTATGACATTTTAAGATGTTTGTAACAAACCTGCTGTGATTGGCTGGCTTCCATTGATCTGGTGGATTTCCATGGAATTGTTCGGATGTCTTTGTTGAAGTTTAGCTTTTCATTTCTGTAATTGACATTGAAATGAAATATGTTTATTTGAGGTAAATATAATATAGTATAAGCTTAATAATCAGTAACTTGCATTTCAGTTTATATGATTGATCATCAGATACCTGATTTGTAATGCGGGGGAGAATGAATGATTAACATTATTTTATAGCAGTGGTTTTGCTTGTAGTATCTATATAAAAGTACAAATTCTGATTATCCTTTGTTTTCTTTGGTGTATACACTATTGTAATTTGTTTTGCTTTGATAAATCTACATAATTAGTTGTTATTTTTAAATCCAGCAGACTTTGCTTCTGTTTATAAAGTATAGATCTTAATTGGTTATTAATAAGTTGTGTTATGTTCCTTTGGGTTTTTATTTTTTTCCTTAACTAAGGTGAAAATTGCACTTATTCTTGATCTATACTAAAATTATTTACCACCGTTCAGAAATTCTTAATTTTATGAACTGTAAACTCAGTCACAGTGTAACTAAAGTTCAGTACAATTTTATTATTTCGTAATTAGTTATAACTTGAAAAATAGTTTAGGGAGGAATTGGTCTAATTTTGGTTCTCTTATCTAGAATTTTGCAAATTAATTAAAAATTAAGCTTCTATATATGTGAGTGTGTATATACGTTTCCTCACAAGTATTTATCCCTACCCCCTCATTGTGGGGAATGAAATTTACCAACTGGTAGTGTGTTTCTAGCCAATTCTCATTTTATCAGCTGCATATTTCACATATATTTTAGATGACCACTGCAGTGAAAACATCTTGGATTCAGTTTAAGCTGTCTTATAACCACCCATGTGAGAATTCTATTACTAAAGACATGGAATTGATAAGCCTAGATTCATGACTATGTCCATGCCCAACCATGAGTAGCCTGCTCTCACCCCCATACCATTAAATGTTAAGTTGACTTGATTTGAATTATCAGAACAGGCTTCTGTGCATTGCAAGCAAATGAAGCCTGAGTTCTGGAAGCTCAGTAATAAGTGTTTGCAATGTAGAAATATCGCTTCATCTTGCTTCTTATTTCTTCAAATGTTTCTTTTGCACTAAAATTAATGGTTCCTTGTACATAAGCCACACTAAGGAATTTAACGCAGTCAAAAGTTTTGTCTTTAAATTAAATGTGGAGTTTAATATGGGAGGGTTTGTATTACAAGTAGTTTGACCCATAAACAGTAACAATTAACTTAAGTTTCACAGTTTAACAGAACAAGTCATTAGTAAATTAATTTTACCTAAGGAATTAGAAGGGTAATATATATATATATATATATAAAAAAAAAATAACAATAATAATCATCTTGAACCCAATTCTGATTGTGCTACTGAATTTAGTGGAAGTTTCACTTGAACAAAGTACTTGTACAATGCATAGCATGAGGTTTATGAAAGTTGTTTTTTTTTTCCAAAAGATGCCAGTGGCAATATGAAAATTAACAGTACATAAGGATAAAATTATATATGTCTACTGGCCTTGATTATTTAAATAATGTTATTTTCTATTTAAATTTTTTTATCAAAAAATTACAAGTAACATGTGACTTAAAAACATCTCACTTAATATAAGTGTGTATCTAGAAAGTACGTATCAAAAAAAAAGTGAAAAAGAAATCCCTAAAATGATTGATGGGATTTGAAAATGAAATGCAGTTGTAGAATTAATGTTTGACCAATTATGAATATATAAATAGTGTTTCTGATTTTGTCCTGAGTATGTCTGTAATGATTGAAAACACAAACTGTATGTATACCTCATGTTATGAAAGAGAAAACTGGAGAAATCCCATCAGAACCCCAAGTGGCTACCTCCCTTCCTGGCTGATCTATATTTAGCCAACACTGGAGCTATGAAATCTATGCATTTTAAAAAGAAAAACTTCTTGACACATCCTGAATCATTTGAAGTTGGTTAAACCATATTTGACAGTTCATGCAAATGCCTAGGAAGAATTAGAAGACAAACAAACTTCTCTCAAATTATAGTAAGATAAAATTCATTAAGCTGAAACGGTACTTGAGTGATATACATAGCTTGGTAACTAATTGATTTTTCAAAGCATACTTTATAATTCTATTCATCTCTGCAGTTTTAATATTGTTTTTTATATATCAGTCTTGATTTTCAGAAACATTATTACATCCTGCTAGATAAATTAGCAGTATTTCAAATAAGACTCTCAGTATGGGTTTTCCACCAGACAATCTTTGAGCTTGTTACAGTTGTCTGCAATAAATCATTTTTGCCCACACTTGAATAAGAAGTTAGTTGACTAATAAAAATTACAAACTTGGTGTTACATTGTCCTAAGTCAACTGTCAAGTAGAAAGCTCGTTAGTTGATAGAAAACCTTGAGTTTATTGATGAACCTTGTGAGGAAGTACAAATAATGATGTATAATATGTCATAGCTTACTTGTTTTTCAGAAATTGTAGTATCTTAGCAACAGTCAATATGAAATGGCAACACGTCGAAAATGGTATCTAAGCCAAGTGTACGAAAATGTGCAGAATGTAAATGGCAGAAATTAACTTGGCATTTTGAAAATCATTTGAGTAGCAATTCGTTATTGGCAACACATCGAAAATGGTATCTAAGCCAAGTGTATGAAAATGTGCAGAATGTAAATGGCAGAATGTTACAATAAACACTGTTATTGGTAAACAGTGTGTGTAGTGTTTATAATAATATTCCTGCAGAAATTGGAACATGGTGGGCATAGACATACTGCTTGTAACTTGTATAGTACTCTGAACGTGCCATGGGATTGGGCCATATAGACAACATAATAGTGTATCTGAGTTGTCTTGTGATAATTTTGGTTTATTGGACAACTGGAAACCACTTATTTCAAACACTGATTAGGCTACTGGCCTAACTGTGACATATCGTGAACCATGACAGTGGTTCATAATTCATAATGTAGATCACAAGGAACTGCACTAAATCCTAATAGAACATTCGGGCAAAAAAGAACCTTAAACAGTAAAGATTCAGTTCAAATAACACTTTAAAACCTTTACTCTTGACCGCTAAGGCTGAACACATATAAAAATGCACAAGTTAGACTTACAAGGAAAAGAAAATCCACTCAAAATGGGCTATTTGTAATTATTATTATCATTCTCTTGCCAGCCTGCAACAAAAATGCTTGGTATATTGTATTCAAACCTTTTATAGAATACTAAATAAGGTATGGTAAAGGTTGTAGGGGTATTGAATAATGATCTGTTTCTTCTGTGTTCACTGTTTGTGATGATGGAAGGAAGGAGTCATTGTGGTGGATTATTATTGTTATTGAAAATATTGCAAGCTCTAGTAATTTTGTCTCCAAGATCCCGATTTCTTGAAGTCTTTGATTTATAGTCTTAATTTGGTTTGTCTATCTACTTATTTAGATAATTAAAATTCTTTGTCATTTTCATATCACCATATTTTAACTATTAGTCATGAAATCGGGTACACTGTCACTGATCTTCTTGCAACAATATATCGTAGTATATAAGTGACTCGGTGTATAAGTCAACCCCCCTAAATCTAGGCCAAAAAATCCTGTAATTTTCTGATCACCATCATACAAGTCTACCCCAAAAAATCATACAGAAAGCCTATACATTATACATATATTTCTAAAGACAGACGGATATCTACAGAGGAGGGTTTATGTACTATGTATTTAAGAGTATTGACAACAAAATTTAAAGTCCTCATCTTCAAAATCTGAATTGCTGAAAAGTTCATTGAATTCACTTTGACTCATCTGGTCGTCATAGACATTGCATTCCTCCATGGGATCATTGTTGTCCTCAGTTCTTGGGCAGGCATCATTTTCTTTCATAGGACCAGCTTGTGTCATTTCATGAAACAGCTACACCAACTCCGATGAGCAGTAATGTCAGAAATATTTCTCTTCTTGGCCCACACCTTGGCGTGTAGCATAATCTGCATTTTTCATCAACTTATTTCACGAGGTCTGTTTCCAGTTCAGGCCAGAAACCAGTTTTTTTGTCCCAGAGCAGCACACTTCAGTCATGACACTTTGAATTTTCCCCACAGATGAGTTTTTAATTTACAACAAATTCTCTACTTGTAGCACAGTTGTTTGTCATTTGGCTGTTGAAGATATCACTGAAATAACAACTAGAATGCACATTATGACCTTTATAAGGTCATTTCCTAGAATTTCAAGACAAAGGCTCTGTGTGAAGAGTATTGTTCGGTGTGTCTAAATATATATATATTGATTCACTAGATCCTGAGATTCCACTGACGATCAAGAATTTTCCTACATTTTTTTTGTATCCATTGTATAAATTGAGTTCACGTTTTTGGAATAACATTGTTATAAAAAAACAGACTTGTATGTCACAATATACAGTAAGCCTTTCCAATATAGTTATCAGATCAGACCCAAAATCTACCAGAACAATTTTTGGCTTGTAGTTATAAGGATGTGCTGAAGTACCAAAGTAATATTAATTCAAAGTTATGTGTAGAGAAATAATTTGATATGATATATTATTTTCTGTTAGAACAACGAAAACCCTTTAAATGATGTGAACAAGAGTGACCACCTTGGAGGAGGAGAAAACATGGCTGGGAGTAATGCTGTAAACGAACCATTGATAAAGAAGGTCAAACTGACAAAAGATACTGCAGTGATGGAAACACCCAAGGTATCTGTACTATATATTTAATAACAGTGTGAAGGGTATTGTCCAAAAACCAAGTGTTCACTCAGATTTTGATAATCATTGAAATAACCCATAATTTGACAAAAGTCTGCATGTATCTGTATATAACCCTTGAGCCACTTAATTGATTATCACCAAACTTTAGGTGCCAATGTGCAGTGACATAAAATTGTGGGGGGGTTGGTGTTTGGAGCTGTTCCTTGTATGTCTTCCCCATGCACTGAGTGGGTACATTAGCTAGTTGTAATAATTTGGATATTTTGAAAATCTGTAAAATATGATATTAAAGTTACAGAAAATCATAACCCAGGATTCCCAAAGAAACCTTTTAAACCCTTTATTTTGAGTGTTGTCCTTTATTGTTGCTCAAAATAGGCCAAGAACATTTAAAAACTTGCAAGTCTGAAGGTATGCCTATGTTTTTAACTATCATAATTATGGAATACAAATCCATGGAAATATAAAGATTTTTTTTTAGAATTTTTTATGTGGTGGACTATTTCAAGCTTCATTATCAGTACTTGGTAAAATCTCTCATTATTTACAAAGTAATGAATTTCTTCATAGTATTTTTATAGATGGGTATAAAAAATTTAACTTTATTTTGTAAAACCACAAAAGGGACTTTCAAAAATAGTTTTGTAGAGGGCTATTGGGAGGCCTAATATTAACCACAGAAAGGATAATGAACTATACTTTAACACAGTCGATGCTAAAAAAACAAATGTTTAGTCTGTTATACTTGTCTGTAAATTTGGAAGCAAACTACAAACGTTAAAGTCGTTTGATTTTTTTTTTTCTTAATCCAATCTTGCACAATATTTTGAAATTTAAAAAATAAAAAAAAAAACACCTTAAGCTGTGAAAAAAGAATATTTTTAAGTTTGATAACCAGCATTTTAGGGTAATTTGTCTGTTATCTGTTATGAATTTTAAAAAAATACTCATAAGAGACTGTATGCTAATATTTTGTTTGTCTTGCTGGAAACTTTGCTGGAGTTACTGGATTGTTTCTCAAACAACCATGCTTTTCTCATGGTCAACGAGATGCAGTGTTGAAAGGGTGGGATCACCTCAAAATATTTATTTATTGGTAGATGGAAAGGAAAATGCAAATTTTGTTTATGAAGAAGCTTTCTTATAATTTTAAAATTTTGAGATAAAGATTTTGTTAAAGTTATTACTGTGAAATATATGATTGCTGTTAAACTTAGTGTTTTAATTAAGTTTAAATATTCCCCGTCAGTTGATGAGTATATCAGCTTGTGAATAAATATAACAGTGTATCTTGTATATGGTCATTCCTGTTATTACAGAACCCATAGCGTAAACAATGTAATGTAGACTTTATTGGTATGTAATAAAAGAATACATCTTCCACAGTCAAATGAAATTTCATATTTGAAAGTTAAATAAAATTGAGCAAACCGAGTAAGTGATGTTTAATTTATTTATAAGAAAATGATTAAAATTCAAGAGAGGGAACATCCATTATACCTACTCATTATTAGTTTATATTTTCTTATAAACATTATTGTTACACAAAGGAAGAATATTTTTCATAGTAAAAGGAAAGTAAATAAGGAAATTTAATGAAATTAGTCTGAGTAAGTAATGTTTAACTTATCTATGGTAAATTGTTAAAGTTGGGAGAGGCTACATCCATTATATTTGTTCATTGTTGGTTTTTATTTTTCTATAAGAAGTGATTTCTTAAATTTCACATCTAAGAAAGTATTGTATATTGTGAGAATTTAAAACATTGAGCAATCTGTCTTTGGTATACCATGATTCAAGATAGTGTTCAGCCACATTACTTATTTCCACCTCAGCTTTGTTTTTGTCCTAAATGTGTTCGTCGATACTTTTGTGGAAGGGCCTCCCGGTTTATACAATATAAATGGGCTTACATTCTGCTCATTCTCATTGATAGGACAAACACTTTCTTCCTTTTCTTTCTTACAGTGTGTATTAGGCATGAAAGCAGGTCTAGTAAGTCTGTTTAAAATTCATATCTGGTTTCTGTATGATTCTAATTGGGAAACCAATTTTTTCACAGCTATGTTTCATTTTATGGTCGGTTCATTGCTGATATATGGTATCACCCTTGTAGCTGGAGAATTCTTGTATGGAGTAGTTTTTGTTCTTACTCACTTTATTTAATTTTATTAAACTTTTCAATTTAGGGTGCACTTTTACTATGTAAGATATTATTACTTTGTGCAAGAATAATGTTATTTTAACTGATGCCTTTTGAACTATTTTTAGATTGATAATGAGCACTTTGACATGAAAAATTTTGATAAAGAAAGATCTTCAACCCAAACTTTGCAGGACAATGGCAAAGCAGTCGTGAAGGGAATTAGTACAGTGACCAAAACTGCTAAGGAAGGTATGCGTATTAAAGTTTTTCGTTGAGTACATTCAGGATTTTTTTTGCAATATTGTGATATGTTCCTAGGTTCTGAATGTTAGGTCTTTGTTAGAGGAAATTAATGTTTCAGGAATGCTTGTGTAATATATAAAAAAAATGTATTTAAATCATGTATATAAAGCTTGTGTGCTCAGCATCCTCATGTTCTGCAGTGAAAAATTGACAACATATGTATATTAAGAAAAGAAGCTTGAACAGTTCCATCTACTCTGCTTACACTGCATTCTGAATATCATGTGACAAAACAATGTTACAGGCCTTTGGAGTTGATCTATGTCAGTGGGAAACCTTGGCAGGTGACAAAAGTGGTGCACCCTTCTCCAGTGAGGTACCAAGGAACACGAAAAGAAGTGGCTCTTCCAGCTAGAGTGAAAGAAAGACAGACCAACTCAGAACTACCTGCTGGCATCACGTACAAGTGCAACAGATCTACAAATCCTGCATTGGACACTACAGCCACATGAAAAGCTGCATCACTGCGACATAAATAATTTACAATTTCTACCGTCTCTCTCAACAATAATAAAGTATAAAATTCTTGTTTGCAATATTTTTTCATAAGTTCTTTTGGGGAGGGGTGAGTTAAAAGAAATGTTTCTGAAGTGTTATGAAAAAGAGAGAGTAGAAACACTGATTAAATCCTTTGTTTTTTAATTTCATAATGCTTACTTAGGTGAAGCACTTCTTAAGGAGATTGGACATGCCGATGAAGGAGAGGAGTCACAGAGGAGACGTACTAGGTCTCAGACTAGGGGAGATCCAGTTCCACCACCCCTTCAGAAGAAAACTCCAAGACAGGTTAGGGGATTTTATTTACTTTTTTTTTCTTATCACATAAAAATTTCTTATTTGCTATCCATACAATATGCATTTACCACTGTTAGACTATAGAAAAAGTAATGCTGGAATTTAAATTTTCAGCTCATTGTCTTGATACATAGGTTTGTTATATGATCTTAAATAAATTGTGAGTTGGACATTGTACCAGTGCTAACATTAGGCAATCTCACTTGCTTTATACAGTCCTTATGCCTTAAAGCACTGAAATTTTATCTGAATACACTGAAAGTACAGTGATAGTTCATATTCCACTCTTCTCTCTTCTTATGAAACTCGTCTTTTGAAAGAGAAAAGACAATTTTTTTTCCAAAAATTAGGTTTTGAAAACTGGTTAACTGACCAGTCACATTTTTTCAACTAATTCTATAAGTTCCATTAACAAAAATTCATCTGAATATAAGAGAAAACATAAGGTATTGTATTCACTTCGTGGAATCATTTAGACCTAACCAATAAGCAATAGCCTACCTAATTATTTTAGCTGATAGGTTGGATATGATGATCGAATGATGCCAGTATGCTCTACTATTATTTTCCAAATTAAAGACAAAAAATCAGTTTTATTATCATAAACAAAACAACAGCAACATTAAATTACTTAGACCTAGTTTGTTTTCTGCTCTATTTTTTTTTTTTTTTTTTAACAGTGATAATTACTACTGAATGGAAAGACTTTTACATGTTAATTTAGTAAGTTTTTCTTGGTAATACTGGAAGTTGTATTATTTCATATGGATTGAGAAAGTTCTGGAGCTAAATCATGTGTATGCATGATGATTGATTGACGTGTTAGAATATTTTTGTTTGTTGGAGTTCTCTAACTGGATATGTATTGGTTGAAATACTAAAATTATTCAACAACTGTGTTGCAGACCTGGATTTGGTTAAGAAAGGAAATTTGGCATGCTATGAAATATTCTTTAGAGAGAAAAAGAGTTAACAGTCTAAACACTGAAAGCTTGCTAGAATATTGGAAAACCAACAGCCCTAAATATTTTCAAAAACAAGTTAACTGCAATTTTATTTTTCCAAAATTTCTCAATTTGTTGATTGTGACTCAAAATCAGGAGGGTGTAAAAAATAGCATTTGAGATTTTTTTTTTTTTCTGGCTCATTTGAGAAAATTTTTTATCATATCCAACCATTATTTTTGTAAAAGAACATAATTTATATTTACAAATAGTAGTGTTATGTAGGTGGTTGCAGACTTTTAATGGGCAGACTTTAATCCCTATTAATTTTTGTAGCTTCTACTCTTTTTGCTGATAGTAAATTAGAAAGCATCTAAGAACAGTTAATTCCAAATGCATATTTAACTGAGTATACTGCTAGTTAAGCTAGACTAAGTTCTTGCTAATTCAATCTTTCCTTATTGAATTGTGAAAATGGCTATTTGTTTCCAAATGTTCTCAGCTCTTGATGTATCTCTCTGTTAAGTGTTTCATATATCTATATAAATATAATAGTACTGTCTGTTGTATTCCACGTAACTACTTTGCAGGGTGTGGATGGATCTTCACCAAAATTGGTAAAGAGGTGTGTTAGGTCTATGTGTGGATACATACAAATTTTCAGTTTTGTGTTTTTTATGGACATTTTTGCATTTTTTACTACTACCTCGCATCCTGTGGATGGATCTTTACCACAGTTAGTATGGAGTTTCATTGAGTCCATGGAGCGAAACATACAACTTTTCAGTTTTGCATTTTTTTACTACTAATTCACCCCGTGTTGATGGCTCTTCATCAGATTTGGCATGAAAGTTTGTTGGGTCCATGCAGAGATTCGTGCAAATTTGCATTTTCACATTTTGTGTTTTGCAGTTTTATGGGAATTTTTCCATTTTTTTTATTCTTTTACAATTACATATAAGGGAAGCAACTTTTTATGTCCTAAGATAACCTTTCATTAATCATGAATTTACATAACTTCCATCCAGGATATGGGTACTCCAGCTAGTACTGAAATACAGTGGTGAAATAATTTGATTCAAAGGTCATAACTGTTTTTTGTAACAAACTATTCAGGAAACACCTAGGCGTGGAAGAAGGGGAAGGCCACGTAAAGAAGAAAGTCAATTGCCGATTAAGAACCTTGATCACCATGAAGAAGGCAGTTCAATAAAAGAATGTGATGAAAAGAAAGAAGTGGCACCAAAAGAGGTAAATGACATGAAGAAAGAAGAAGCAAGGGAAATTAACCTTACTGCACAAAAAGAAACATCCATAACAGAAAGTGAGTCACTTGCAAGTCAAAACTAATCTTGTCTTTGTAACACTTTTTTGTTTTCAAAAAGTGACATCATTGCCAGGGAGGGAAGGTTTTAACAAAAATGTTGAAAGGGACAACCTGACTTGATGTTATTTCCATAGGTCTTTTTGTAAACTCTAAATCCTGTGCTGAAAGCACATAAAAGAAAAATCACTGTAGAATCTTCCATGTGCCATTTTTTTTTTTTTTATCTTGACCTTTTAACTTCATAAAATCATAATTTTAGAGTAAGTATTTGTTTTATTTTATATTAAAGTGTTACATCTTGTTTTATAGTCATTGTGTTGGGCCATAATTCTGTGAAGTGGTTCGTAGCACTGTAATTGTAGGACTAGGTTCAAGTTGAATTGAAAAGCAATATTTGTTACTTGTTTGGCCAGTTTGTTCAAAATTTGTGATAGTTGTATACCATTTATTATTTTAAACAGTCTAAGGATAAGAAAAATTGTGGATATTTGAAACACTTTATCTGTGAGACTGAATTAAGAAATTCTTCATAAAACCAGACTATAATAGTTATTAGTTCTTTTCAGTGTTAAAAATTTAATTAACTTGCTGGAAAATGAATAAAAGAAAACTTTTAGTTATTGAAGCTTTTTTTTTTCCACTTCATGATTTATAATACTAGTATATAAGACAATTATCTAGTGTCTACTTTTTGTTTTAAATTGTTAAAGTGTTATTTGCTGTCATTTTTCTTTTCTTTTTTTATATACTTATTAAATCAATCATGGTGCCTTCCCCACTTCTGTCAGTGACTATGGTTCTCCATTGCTCTCTATTCCTTGCTGCTTATAAACTTTCCTAAATCAAACTTCTCATCCCCAGTTAATTTTCTAATGTCAACTGCATCTTACTTTTTTCCTTTGATTTTACTCATCATAATCTTTGCCAGCATCTTCTATTTTATGTTTCTAGTTTTATTCTGAAATTTCAAGTCCTCTGTTATTATAAGGAAGGAAATTTAAGTTTGTAATTATTCGTCTTTCTGTACCTGTAATGCTTATCCATAGATTAATAGATAATGTCTTAACCTGACAAAAAAAAGCAAATACTTCTGTATTCTGTATTTTTTTATTTTCTTACAAAGCCATGAATGTCAAAGGAAGAAATAAGACCTTTTAACAACTGGTTATTGATATTGTAATATTAACTTCATTTTTATATTCTAAATTGTACTTATTTATTATCATTTTTTATTACATAGTATCCATTGTTTTGAAATTGTGGACTTTTGTACAAAAATGGAAGCTAAATGCTTTTGACAAATAATTTTTTTTAATAATTGAATATTTTGAATTTATCTGTTTGGGTTAATTTTTATTTCAAATGTTTTATTTAGTACTGGTCATCAGATTCAGTCAGTTTTTGTTCTGATTTCGAAATTAAGATTGTGGCTACTTAAGTGTTTTATTCATTTTTTCTGTGTCTTTAAAAATGTTGTTGTTTTCTTACCATTTGTAAATGTTAGGATTTATACAGTGGTGTAGAATTTAACGTGTGTAAATTGGATATAGTGCTTTGCTTAACAGTTTTTAATCCTATCAAAATACTGTCAGATTCTGGCATTAAAGGTAGCCATAACTGTTCTAAATGTCTGTCTATCTATCTATCTATCTAGTACTAGAAAGAAAACTTGTGTAATCTATCTGTCGTTGAAAAATTAGATTTACTAGTGAAATAAGCCTATTGCATACAAAAATATGACATGTTCACAGAAAATGTCGTAAGGTGAAGAAGGCCATGCCAGTGATAACTGGTAAATTATAATTTGATAAAAATTTCAGGAGAGTGATAAATCTGGCAGTGGTTCTCAAATTTTTTTGTCCACGCACCACTTTGGCGAGGCAAAAGATCCCATGGACCACCTGCCGATCCTACCCCACCCTCTTTGACTTGCCACAGCAAAAAATCTCATCATAATTAATGGGAAGAATGGTGCTGTTTTTGATGAGACTTTTTGTACCATTCCACGGATCACCTGGAGGACCCTCGCAGACCACACTTTGAGAACCACTGCTTTATGATTACAGGTTTGACAAATATGTGCTATGTTAGAATAAAAGTACTTTTGTTCCTATTTTACCTCACATTGTTGAATTACCTAATTTCTCCTATTTTTTGAGAAAAAAGGCTATTTTCAATTTCACTTCATTGTAGGATACTTGATTGTTACCAGTTACTATTGTTTATTTAACCTACAAATAGGTTATGAATTTCTTATAAAGTTTTTGGCTTTAAATGTATTTCTTTCAGATGAAAACAAAACTTATTTAAAAGTATAGCAACATAATTACAAATTAAGGTTTGACTAGTAAAACATTTCTTGAAAATTATTTGTATAGTTCTTCAAACAGTACAAAAAAAGAAAGAAAGAAAAAATTTGTTTTTCTGTTTGTGTGTGTGCATTCACTGCTATACTGTAAGGTGTTTAGCTGATGTACTGGAGCCTTGGGCAGGCAATATGCTGAGCATAACTTTGCAATAAAACTACAACAACATGAAAGCGATTAGAAATAATGACAGTTCTGTAACTTCAGATATAATTTGTTTTTATTACTCTACATATTTCTCTACAGCTTTTTTTTATGGTGTTCACATGTACGAGACACAACAAGTAAAGAAAGGTTAGAGCTTTTAACTGTGGAGCATGCAATGTTCCATCATGTTCAAGACAAACATTATGATAATGTAATATCTGTTTGTTTAAATTTTTTTCAGAGGTATTGTTAGAACAACAAAGGGAAAAAAAAAATAGTATAGTAAAAGCATTAATGTGTGGTTGTATTCAAGAATTGACAAAAGTTAGATTAATATTTGAAGTAATAAATCTAAAAGTACATATCAACCTTAAAAGGATACTCCGTTACAAAGTTTTACAGCAAATCAGTAAAAATGCACATTCCCCTTTATAGGAAAATCATAAGTGAATTTAAATATAGGAAATACTGTTTTTTTTGTATAGGTTATATAGATGTATGTAAATATGTCTGAAGAATAAATCAGCATGATCATTTTACAATGTAATACAAGTTCTCATTGTATTAAATGAACAAAAGTATTACTTCTAATGATTCCTTTGTTTTTATGGTTTTAAAATAATGTTTAAATTATACTATTCCTTTCATGTGCTCCAGAATATTTTCTGTAAATAATTTTTGGTTAGGGTTCTCTGATGAAAAGAGCTTCTCATCTTCAGTCTGTAATGTTTATTTTTAGTTCTGGTAAAAATTCCACTGTATAATAGTAATGGCTTGCTAAGTATAGATTCATCATGTTTGTGTAAATAGTGTTCTAAAAGAATAGTTTTGATATCTATAATTTGAACAACATATCAAAGTGCTTGACATTGTAAGTGTAAAGGAATGCCAGTATCACTCTCATTACAAGTTTTGCACTGTATTATAAAGTAACATTACTAATATGATGCTGCCGAGTTGCTCCAGCAGGTTATGCTAAGACACATGTCGTACTTCATTTGGTAGGTGTAAAAATGGTGGGCGTATTTGTTTTGAGACTGGAACCAGTGCATTGCATAACTAAGTCTAATGTGTGAATTTCTCTGACATCTTTTTGGCTGGCAGATAAATGTTTTTCTATCACTTGCAACTTTCAAATATTTTCTCAAGTGTGTTTTTTAAAAGATAGCTATTCTTTCAAAATAGTGACTAGATTTACTAGAGCTTCAGTTTGTGAATTTTCTTTTGCTTTTACATTAAATTTTTAGTTTTCTAATGCTGTTTTCATAATAATGTATATGGTAGCAATGTATATAATTGTATGTTACCACATGTTCAATGCTGTACATTAGAACATTTTAGGTATATTTTAAAGCTAAAACACAATCTAATGAATGTATTATTTGTTATGAGCTTATTTTTACCCCTTAAAAAAAACTGCAAAGCAACATGTAGAGTAATAAAAACAATGTTCCCCAGAATTACAAAATGTTAATGATATCTTTTTTAATTACATCTTCTGTATTAAGAAGGAAAACAGGAAAAAGTCTTCATTAGATATGCCCATGCCATATGTCTCAAGTTTTGTATAGCTTCATTTCAGAACAAAATGTTAACATACACTGTTGATGTATGTTTATTAAGCATTTAAAGTTCTTGACATTGATATTTTACTTCAGTATAGAGTAATAATTATCATTGGCATAATTTGTAACATGCTGTTTTTCTGATACACATTACTTATTTGTTATTAATTTGCTTTTGTGTGTCATATAGTAATTCTTTTAAATTTTAGTATTTTTTTCACTGGCTATCCCTTAAAAAATTTATCATCAGATAACTAGCTCTTACACTTGTAAATGTTTCTCTGTTACTTTTGTCATGAAACACATCATCATCACGTCTAAGAAGTGAAATTTTACTGTTTAACAGTTTCATGTAATCTATGGAAATGTACTGAGTCACTGATACAAATTAGAAATATCTGAACGTTTGGAGTTTTAAACTCATCTCTTGTCAATGGTAAAACCATTAAACTAGTTTTTGTTACCTCAAACCCATAATTGTTGTCTCAGTCCTGAGAGTCTTAAAAAAACTGTAAAAGAAATCTTTAATTCAACTGTGTTATTATTTGGTCTTTAAAAGATTTCAATGTCTTGTACTCTGTCCATTCCCTTCATTGTCTATATTATTAATATCAAGTGATCAATTTCTGTGGGTCACAAGAAAAATCTATGTTGATGCTAAAAATGATCCAAAAGAGTGAGCTTTTTGTAATGGGAGCAAAATATGGGAAGGTATATGTGTGTTTGTAGGAGAACTTAAAAGTTGTATTAAGTAAAAACTTTTAAAAATTGGAACATAAATTCAAGTGCAGGACAGTAAATTCATTTATTTATTAAAGTAATGTGTCAATTGGTTATTTAACATTAAAAATATATATATTGATCAAAGAATATTTGTTAGACTGCTCAATGACAGTGTTGTGAAGTTCTGCTTTAATGGCATTTCAGTATCATATTTCAAAATTGGGTTGCTTAGCTAAATGCATTTTACTATATGATATTGAAGTCATTATTATATATACCTTAATGTATACACATTATTGTAACTATAACCAAGTAGCATACTTGAATTCTGTGAATGTGTTCTAATTCACTGGGGATCTTTATTTGTTGGATATTATGAATTTATCTGCTACTGATATACAAATAAAAAGAAGGCAAAGTTGTCAAAAAAAAACTCTTACAATAACTTTAAACAACTGTTCTTGCAGAAATAGTAGTTGTGGTAAATTAATCTGTATTAAAGTTTCATAACAATAAATATGATTAAAAGCTTATTTTAACTTTTAAAAAATTCTACAAAGGGACTAATTAGGAGTGAGTGTTCATATTTGTTTTTGTTTGTAAGATGTTAACACTGATAGCTATTTAAAAGGGAGAAATAGTTATCCTTTTAATGAGGTGCAGTACTTGGTTTTTTAAATTAAGGTGTCCAGTTTGCATTTTCAGTAACAAAATGTTGGGTTGTCCCATTGAAAACATTATATTATTTTAACTTTTCAGTCATTACATTTTTCTTGTTTTTTGTATGAGAATCGTGTAAGCTGTAATACATTGTTAGGTTTCATAATAAATGTTCCTTCTAGTAAGATGCAAGATTTTTTAAATTCCTTTTGGATACAGTTTCATCTGAAACCAATTACTTTTGTTCAATATTATGATCTTATTTTAAGAGCAACTTTCCAGCAAAAATATACCATTTAAAAGAGAATGAAAATTAATTTGTCTGCTTTTATTCTACCTAAATTTTTATTTAACTTTTAGTCATTTTTTTTAAGTTTAAAATTTCAACAGTTAATGAAAGCAATTATGAATACTGTCATTTAAATTTTGTGCAACACAGCAGTTTCTGTTGTTATATGATTCAAAAAATATACACAAGAAAAGGGTTTTTCAGTGTATACTGAGTGATATGTATTTAACTACTCCATTTGTTTGTTCCTCATGAAGACATATTTCTTTTAAAACCTACAACAGGTGTATATGAAACTTGATATGTGTGTGAATAATTTTGCAGATCATCACCAAAATGTTATTCTATTCTACATAATGCATATCTATAATGTCTTAATCCCACAACATTATTTTAATATTATATATAACTCTGAAATTGGGCTTCATGACTTTGGCCAACATTGTAATAACCACGTAACTATACTTATACACTTAGTACATTACAAGTCTGTTGTACATTAAAAACAAATTAATAAAGTATTTGTCTGGGAATTTACAAGGCCTTTACTGAGTCAGTCTGGGTAAAAGGTAATTTTTCATACTAAGAATAAAAATGCTTTTCTACTTTCAGTTTTCATATTTTATATAGAGCCTTCTAAATGAATATCAGATTTTTTTTCAGTAAAACTTCATATTTTATCTGTTATTTTCTCTATTCTAACAATAGCAAAATCAGCAATGTTGGGTAAAATGGAAAGTTGAAAAAATTATGAAATCTATATTTCCTTTTGTTTTTTTAGAATGATTGCTTATTATGACAAACAATTACACAGTATTTATTCTTATAGTTAAAATATGTAACTTTCAAGTTGGGGTTCATTTAGTTTAATTGCTTTACAACTGCACTTGGATCCTCTCAAAGTATGCTAAAAGTCATTTATCGTAACTGGACAGCTTTGTGTAAACAATTGAATCAGTTGAGCTGTTGAATAACAATCATACAGTGTGATTGTGCACATGCTAATATAATGAATATCACAAGCTTGTTTTTCATCTAAGCTTTTAATCTAACCAAATAAATTTCTAATTTTCACATTTTATTTACTATTATATATATAAGAGAAAAGTTTAATATTTACAACTAGACTAACTTTTTGCCATTAGCAGACAAAACACTGTAGGCCTACATTTTTTGTAATGATGATGGCATTCCACAATATTATTGATTTTTATTTCAGATATTCAACACAAAACACTAACATACAAAAACTAGAATGTTCTAAAACTAATGGCTTTCTAACTAAACTATAGATAGGTTAAAGTTCTGCATTCTTTGGGTCTGTGCACACATCATTATATGGATGACTGGCTCCTTCTGGCACCAATCCATCGATTAGCAGAATAACACTCTCAGATTCTCCTTTAAGAAGCCACAAAAACAGGCTTTCTTATCAGACTGGAGAAATTATTCTGTCACCAATGCAATATCTCATCCATCTGGGTGTGTTTTTCAATACTCACTTAAGTCAGGCTCAACCAACCCCTATCATGTTACAAACCATAGAAAGAGCCGTCAGGCTTTTACTTCTCTCTCCTTCTCCTACTGTGTAGATGGTTCTCTTTCTTTTGAGGATATGGGCATCCCTCAAACCTCTCATTCCTTTGGAACGAGCACATGAGTGACCAGTTGATCATGCATTCCTACCCTTTGGATCATCCCGTTTCATTACTTAGGAGCAACATCATCTATTGTGAATTGTGGTTGGATCGGAACAACACTACTATTGGGGTACCCATTCCACCACCTCATGCCGAGATCCATCTATTCACAGATGCATCTCTTCAAGAATGGGGAGCTTATCTACAAGGTCAGAAGTTCCAGGATATTTGGACAGAAGACTAGTCTACCCTTCATATCAATATTCTCAAACTCCTTGTAGTACACCGGGCTATGGTTCAAGGTCTGTCTTTATTGGGGGGGAAAAGTTGTCATGATACATTCCAACAATTCCACAGTGGTTTCTCAGATTTCTCGACAAGGAGGCACACATTCTTAAGACCTTTGTTTTCGTACTTTGGATCTTCTATACTGGGCTCATGCTCATTGTATCAGTCTTTTAGCATGTCATGTTCCAGAAGTGATGAATTTAATTGCAGATCACTTGTCTCAACTCAACCAGATTCTTCTGACAGAATGGATGCTACATCACAAGGTTTTTCAGTGGATTTGCTCTCTAATGATTGATGCTTTTGCAACTCATTGAAATTCTCAACTGCAGTTGTTTTGGTCTCTGATACCTCATCCTTAGGCATTGGCAGTAGATGCATTCAGTCAGGACTGGCCAGGTTTACATCTGTATGCTTTCCCCCAATTCGGCTTTTGTCCTGGATTCTGACTATGGTTCGTTCCACTCCCTGTCAAGTTCTTTTAGTTGCTCCATATTGGCCAGCTCAAACGTGGTTTCCATTTCTTCAATATTTGCAGGAATGTCCACCTCTACCTCTTCCACACTGGCAGTCTTTGTTGAGACAACCTTGATTAAGCATTCTCCACCAAGCTGTTCGGAAACTCAATCTTCATGCTTGGAAGTTATGAGGTCCTTGGTCCAACATAATAGTTTAACTTCTGAGGTTTCTCTGTATTTAACTAAATCTCTCTATAGGCCAACCAATGCTGTTTATCAACCAAAAATGCAATACTTATCATCACTGGTGTATTAAAAGGAATTTAAACCCTCTTCATCCTAAAGTATTTACCATATTCTGTTTTCTGACTTGGGTACTTGAGAGAGGTCTTGCTTCATATACAGTAGCTTTATATAAGACATCCTTATCCACTATTTTTTGATATTCTAAATATCGGAAGGTTTTTGAATCCTCAGTACTATCAGGTCTACTCAAATCCTTTCGTATTCTTCGACTGAAACGACCTTTTAAATTATCGAACTGGGATTTTACAGTTGTTTTTACATGCATTTTCTCATCCTCCCTTAGGTTCATGTTCTTTGTTTCATCTTTCTCTTAAATTGTATTGTTGGCTTGTGGATGTCATCAATTAGAGTTGTTTGCAATTCATGTGCATTTGACTCTTTATTATTCCACATTTGTCCTGCTTTACCCTGACAGATCTTTTCTTCTAAAGACTGGGAGTTAGGGAAGGGGAAAAAATCCTTCTCACTAATTCATTTGCCAGCCATTTCTCACCTTTATAACCATTCCAATTCTGTTAGGACCCTCAAGTGTTATAGGGCTTGTACTAACTCATTTTGAGGTAGTAGAAATCGAGTGTACGTTCATTTGAATCTTTATTTCCTGTAACTTGTCTCCCATTACTCTAATGCAGTAAATTGATTCAAATAGTCTATGATGGATTATCATTAGAGGAGAAGAATCTTTTGCGTGTCACTTCTCACTAGATTCGTCATATCTTTGTCATTAGCTGCCCGGTTGAGTTGCACTCTGGAAGACATTGTGTGGGCTGATATGTGGATTACTCCTAATACTTTCCTATCTCATTACTTACATGATATGACAGTTTCCTCTTCTGAGGGTTTTCAACAACCCCTTGTAGCTATTTTGATCACATCTGTTAGATTTTAACCAGGGGTATTTCCTCAATCATATACTTTTTTATTTTCAGAGTCCCTTTTATTTTTCACTGGATCCCACTCTGTGGCGAGTATTGCCCAGGCAGGTATGCTTTCTCTTTTCAATTCTGCACTAGCACCCACTTTCAATATAATTACTACAGGTTGCAACAGGCTCTGTCGAAATGGGGTGTTCCATAAGACCATCTAGGTGTTTACTGAATGGTATTACCTTTTTTATCATGGACTATCATGAGTAAAGCTAAAGGAGATCTTGCCCTTCCCTGCCAATTTTCAGGTTGAATAAATCTGGTTGGCTTGCTTTTAAAAGTGTATAGAACTTGGTTCACCTATTGCACATTTAAATCATTCTGTGTAGCCATTAATATCGAACATGGTAGATGCGAGTGGTTAAAATGTGTAACAATCTTCCTCCTATCTGTTACAAGATCAACTAAAGCTCACTGAGATTGCATATAATTCAAACAAGTTGTAATGTTTGAAGGAAACGTGGTTCACTCCGCCACTTTACCAATAATTACTCCATTATCTCTTAATAGAAGAGTGTTTTTGATTTCTCATAAAATTGTTAGATCTTCAAATATTTTCTCTATTATACCATTAGTTAATACATTAAGAGCAGCATGTTGTAAATAATTGTCTTGTCATCCAGGTCATGTGAAACTGGTAAGATTGTTTGTTATTGACTATCACCAAACATCTGTTAACTCTTTCACTGCCATGGGAGTTTTGAAATTTTGTACTGCCAAGAAGAAAGGGCATTCCAGTTTCAGGTAATTGGTGGAACATTAAAAGGTGTTATTTTGTTGATTATTGTATATCTAAATATAAACCTGGCACACTAAGACAGTTGTTTACTTATGTTGAAAGCAAAAGAGTTAAAGAAATGGAATTAACATTTGAAACCTGACCAACAAATGCAGTTTTTCATTATTATTTTTCTATATATCTGGGAGAATTTTTTCAGAAATAAAAGTTTTACTTTGTAATTCCTTTGCCATTAGCAAATGAATATAGTTGGCTAATTTTTGCAAACCCACAATAAACTTTTTTGTGTTTGCATTTTAAATTGCTCATGATCATGACTGAACAAAGGGCTTATCATGGAATTATTCTTTGTATCACTGTTAGTAAATCAAAGCCTCAATGATCAGTGTGAGCACTGCAGTGAAAGATCTGTACATGTGACTATCACTAAGACACCACCTGTTGGCATGTTACAACTTGTCAATATTGCAAGGTTTACAACAGGTTTGAGTTTGTTGACACACTGGATGTGTTTAAACAAGACTAGCCTGATCACAAAATT